TATATGGTGCTGCCTCATTTTACACATAAAATTTTGGATTTTTTTTTGAATTTTCTTACTATTTCATAAAGCAAGGAAGAAAGCCGACAAAGCCTTTAATGTAATTTAAACTCCAGTTATTAATACCTTTATACTTTGTATTTTCTTGTTAGTTTCGGATTTGAAGCATAGGCTTAAGTTGGCACGGTAATCCTTGCACTGCATGTTAGCAAGTCCTAAACAGTCCAGAGAGCCTTCATTCCTTAAAGCAGGGGAGTAAATCTGTCTTGCCCTAATTCTATCAGTGCATTGTAAAATTGGATAAGTTTGTGAGTTTGAGCGTTTTCTCTCGTGCTCTAGAAACCTGAAACACGGCACAGCTCTCGCGGGTGGAGGCATGGCGTGTGCGGGGTTTTCTGGAGCTTTGAAGGAAGATTGGGGCTCTAAGCCTCAGCTCCCTGGAGTGTGTTTCCTCCTGAGGAACACGGTCCTGTGGAGATGTGCTAACCTTGGTGCTTGATTGCTGCAAATCAGATCAGTGTCGTTGCTCCCCTGGGCCGACAGATTGCTCTGGCCAAAGGCTCTGGTGACCTCAGCCCTGTTCCTCTTGATCCTCTTGGCAGACCTTTGATTCTGTTCCAGCTCTTCCCAGAAACAGAAGAGCTCTTGCCCCGTGGCTCAAAGGATGAGCAGGGATGAGAAAAGTTTCAGTCCTGCCTCTGTCCAAGAGTATGAATCTCTTCCACACGAACATGTAAGAGCTCCGTGTTTTGTGGCGGGTTCTGGCCACGCAAACATCTCTGTGATGGAGTCATGGTTTCTCCAGGGCCACAGGGAATTTCCCAGCTGAAGCCCTCAAAGCAAAGCCATTCCCAAGCTCTGAATCTCCTGTAAATCTGCTTTGGGCTGTGCAGTTCAAATAGAAAGTTTAATAGGTAACGGGGAAAGAACCAATTCCAGAAATTCCAGACAAAAAATACCAAACCAAGACACTTGTGTGAATTTCACTGGACATTTCAGAATAGGTGTTACTTCTTAAGTATGGCATAATGTGCTTTGTGCTTTAATATGTGCTTTAATACATTTTTTTTTCAAGCTTTAATTTTAGTTAACTACAGTTTAGATTTCTGGACTTTCTGCTGGGATGGTATGAACTTAGATGAAAGCAAATCTCTCTTGAAAGGTTTTCAATCTAGTTTAGTTTTTAGGTATCTTCAATTTAAAATATTTAGTTAGTATATATTCACTGGGGAAAGAGTGCTTGATTTTAATTTTCACGATGATTAGATTATGGAACTAAAAGTTGATTGAACAAGTTATTTGTTTTATTGGTTGAGGGAACATAACTCGGCAGTTTATTTTGCAGTTTATATTTTTGGTGCCATCTCATGTAACACAGGCTCGTGTATTACTCATCCCTTCCCCTTCAAAGTCCTTTGGATTTTTTATTTCTCTTTTAAATTTCAATACCCTGGAGTGTTTGAATTGAGGAGTCTCAAATAAAAATCTATTTTGGGGCAGGAAGTTTTCTGGATGTTTTGGATAACATTTATTTCTACTTTCTATTGCCAAATCATCTTTCAAACTGATGTCATTAAGGCAGAGAATTTTGTGGTTTGTATAATAATACAAGTCCCAAATGGTGGCAGTTATTGAAGTTAACACTTTTTGCCCAACTGTGGGAGTACCAGCATCTTTGAGAGATTCCAATTTTGGTTCTTATTTATGCTTGACATTTAATGTGCTTGACATTCTGATTATTTTACACCTACCTAATTTCTTCTAGCTCCAGGGATAATGACAATATTTTAAGCATCTGTGAAGTGTAGCTGTGTGTTATGGAGCAGGTGCAATGCTACAAATGGAAGGGAAAAAGTCCCTAATCTATTTCTGGAATCATTGTGTTTTTTGTGTTGCATATCTCTGGGTCAGGTAGAGTTTCTCAGCAGCTTGGTCTGGTTACCAGTATTTGCTTTACTAATATTTAATATCCTGTTATTTAGCCAAATGTCTATCTGTGTGTGTACAGATGTAAATAAATCACATCATGTGGACTGGATGCTCACATGGTGTCCTTTGTGATCAAGGGGCGAGACGTTATAGAGAGAGTTTTCCAAGTTATTACTGGAGATTTATATTTTTCCTAAATTTTGAATTCAAATGGGCTGTAAAATAATGTATTATAAAAGTTAGCCCTTTAAACTGCTGAGCTCATATGTCCATGGCCTACACCTTGAGTGTAGAACTTAGAACTGCCCTGTGTCTTGGTTTATAGATAATTGGGATAGCAGCTGAGAAATTAAAAATATGGGAAAAAAAATTACCCAAATGATTTTAAGTATACTCTGTGTAAAGTCTTTACTCTCCCTTTGCAAAGTAATTTTATTAATCTTTTTGAGTTGTATTCCCATTTATTATGTGGTTCCCTGCAGACATGTCAGGTTTTAGGCTCTTTTGGAAAGGTTAAACTGGTTATCAGGGAAAGAAGGAGAAGGATGCAAACAGTGGCAAAACCAAGTTCTTCAAAACTGTGCAGCTGGTGGCCACAATTTCCTTTTTCATGTACTGGGAATCTCGCATTGCCCTTGACTATTGGCTACATCAAGAGTGGCAGAGAAAAGTTAAAATAAAATTAAAAGTTAAAATACTTTATTTTGCAGCCCCATGTGGGCACGTGTTAAATACTCACCCAAGCCCTCCCAAAACAATTTCCATGGCCCAGCAAGGGGTCCTTGAAGCAGCCCTGACTGAGTGGGATATAGGAGCAATATTAAAAATTCCTTTATTTTGCAATCTTGCCACCTGGTGGTACAGCCTGATAATAAATATTTGGTTAGAAACCTGTTCCAGAAGTCATATTTTCTTTGGTAGACGGGGTCTTGGGGCTGGGATTTCAGACTGGATCCTACATGGTCTCCTGTTTTTATCAGGCAGGTTCAGAGTGTTCTTCCTTCACTGCCAGTGCCCTGTGCCAGGGCAGTGCGAGGCTGTGCATCCCTTGCTATTAAACACCATAGAGTCACATCAGAGGGTGGCTTGGCTTGGAAGGGACCTTAAAGATCATCTCATTCTACCCCTGCCCTGGCAGGGACACCTCCCACTGTCCCAGGTGCTCCCAGCCCTGTCCAGCCTGGCCTTGGGCACTGCCAGGGATCCAGGGGCAGCCACAGCTGCTCTGGGCACCTGTGCCAGGGCCTGCCCACCCTCACAGGGAAGGATTTTTTTCCTAATGTCTCATCTTTCCCCTCCCTCTGGCAGTGGGAGCCATTTCCTGTGTCCTGTCACTCCAGGTTCTTGTAAAGAGTCTCTCTCCATCTTTCCTGCAGCCACTTCAGGCCCTACAAGGCCACGATTTGGGCACCCCAAAACTTCTCTTTTCCAGGTGAACAATCCCAGCTCTCCCAGCAGAGCTGCTCCATCCCTCTGCTCCCCCTGCAGCCTCCTCTGGTGCCTCCAGCAGCTGCAGGTCCCTCCTGTGCTGGCCCAGGGCTGGGGCAGCTCTGCAGGTGGGGTCTCACCTGGGCACAGGACAGACAGAGGGACAGAATCCCAATCCCTCCCCTGCTGCCCATGCTGGGGCTCAGCCCAGGAAGATTTGGGATCCCAGCACATAGTTGGGGCATGTCCAGCCTCTCATCCACCAGCACTTCCAAGTCCTTCTCCCCATGGCTGGTCCATCTTTTCATCCCCCAGCTCCCACTGACTTCCACAGACACGAGGGAAGTCTGGAGATGATGTGTGCTCCTGGAGCACCGTGTTATGCATGACCCTTCACAATACATTTGCAATGTAGATTATGAAGGAATCGTGTCCCTGTCCTGGAAGTCCCAGATAAATGATACAAGCTGAACTGACCTAAGTTATATAAGAATATTTGAGGGATGTTGCTATACCTAAAACAATTCCTACAAATGCCAGCAATACGGAACTGAAATGTGTTTGGATAGTTTAAATGTTCATTTGGGCACAAGGTGGAGACTGAATAAAGCCCATGATGCGCAAAACCTGGCAGAGCTGACACTTAGTGGCAGGAGCACAGGGAAGCTCACTCCTTTCTGCTAATCTGAGATGAAGCAGATGTGGTCTTGCTGGTGTCTGCAGGGAAATCCTCATTTATAATGAAAGATGTTTTCACATGGTGTTCAAAGGGCCTTAAACAATCCAGCTTTTGCAAGCTGAATCCAAACATGATTTACTGAGGGGTGTGATGAATTGATCATTAGCTGGAACTTACAAGTCAGAAGTGGCTGTTTGCTCTCCCAGGAGTGTCCCCTCCGGCTCTGCCATATGCTGTGGTTTGACACGAGAGGAACCGAATGGAATTCTGTGCCTTGGGTCAAAAATGGCATCGTGCTGGAGCACAGCAGCTCCCTTTTGATACCAAAACATGGGAAATGGGTTTCTTTTTGTCTGTCCTACGGTGCAGTGGGGATGTGTTCCCATGGAACACTTGCAGCCCGTCCAAGGAGGGCCTCTCCTTGCAGAGCTGCTGTCATTGCCTGCGCCCTCCTGAGCATCTCATGAAAACAGCCACAAAGTTCACAATGACATCGCTGTGCTGGCCTTAAGGCCTCTCAATTATTCCCTTCCAAGTTCTTATGTCATGCAAGTAAAACCAGGGGAATGTGTCCCCTCTGCTCCTGCCCTCTCTGCCAGCCTTTCCCTTTCACACAGACACACACACACTGAGTTTTCAGTTTCCAAAAACATTAAAAATCACATTTATTTATAAATATGAGAGGCCAGAGGGCTACAGCTCTGATAAATGGGAAAGAAGAAGTATCATTGGGACTGAGGCCTGTGTTGTCGAGCTTTTAATTCACATCTTTGGTCACAGTCTCAGAACTTTTTAATCACTTTATTTTACTGCAAAATGTCCCTAACTATTTATGACACTGGATGTTTGCTCTTGGATCTGTTTCTCCTGTGGGGTATCCTTTAGATCAATCCTTGTTTGTTCTATTAATTTGCTAAATTCTCTGGGGTTTGTCAAGTCTAATTATCTTCTTTCTTTCTTCCAGTTTTGAAATCAAGATTGATTAGCCAACACGAGAAGACCCAGCTGGTTATGTGACTCAGAACCCTGTTTATGAAGCACTCGCTCGTTTTTACAAGACAACTGTAAGTTGTTTCTTTTCCTTTTCCTCAAATTAAAAAAAACTACTGTTGTAACTTCCTAGAAATTCTGGAAAATTCTAGAAGAATTCACTTTTATTGGTAAAGAGAATCTTGAATTTTGGCTTGGTGATGCCAGCCATGGACGCAGAGTGCTCTGTTTGCTTTACCACACTACTACCTGGGACTTTTTTCTACATAATGATGATTTTACATTGTTTAAGGAGAGATTCCCTCAGCTAGGAAGATCAATCTGCTGTGTCTTTTCGTTGTGTTATGTGAAATGTGGGATCAGGGAATGTGACAAACCTGTTTTGGAGGGCACTGCTGGCGGGTTGTGTGAGGAGGTGCTGAATCCCTGCACAGAAATTGTGCAGGAGGAGTTGGCACCTCTGCCAACAGGTAACTCTGGCAGAATTCTGCATTCTCCCACGGCCCCCAGACTCTTGAGATTTTGGATTAAATAATGCCTCCTCTGTACCTGATTTAGACAAGGCTTTTTTCCCCACAATTATAAATTTCTTCTTCATAAGGCAAACCCTCAATTTTACTCACAAACCAGAATTTGTCAGGTAAAGTATTAGAGTCTGGAGTGCAAGTGTGGGGATGCAGAAATGAAAGTTCCAGCAGTTATAGTGCATGACTTAATTATTTTTTTGATCTATATCACAAACCAGGTTTTATAAGCTCAACTTAATAAAATTGTTAGATGCAGGTGGAGTGCTGATACGTTTGTCATCGTGTTTGATGTGGTGTGAATCTTATTTATCCCTTTTCACTTGTGGGGAAATGATCTGCCTTAGCAGTGATGAGACTTTAGTTTTTGTAACCAGGTGGTGGGGGTTTAATTATTAAATTTTGGAAGCCATACATTTACAGGATGTTCCACTTAGATGAGCAGGAATCCAGCCAGTGCTGTCAGGTATGGGACAGCACCACATCATCTCCAGCTTTTCTTTAGTTATAACTGCACTGAAAGACAGGCAGGCTGGGTTGGCTGAACTTCATGATCTTGTTAAAATGGCATTGCCCAACTGCCACTGATTGTAGAAAAATTCCATTATTTTGTAAGTGGAAGGAACAAGCTGGTATTTATTCTGAATTTTCTCTTGAATAGCAAGTGATTCTAGTGACTTGCAAGTGGTGACACAATGCATGTACAATCTGTATTTTCATTTGTTACCTCTCTTGTTGCTGAAGGTTCATTAACCAAGGAGGGAAAATGGGGTATAATATTCAAACTATTAGAGAAAAAAGGGAAAATTACACTCACTACCAAGTAAGTTTTGGGCTTATGAAATAGTAGGAGCAATAAAGAAAAATTAGTAAGTATTAACTGTGAAATAGAGCTTTGTAGAGTGAAGTATAAGCTTAGTATTGATTTTTATGATTGCAAGAAGATGTCTGAAAAAATTTGCTTTATGACAACAATAAATATATTCCAAAAAATATTGAGATTAGTTAGCAAGTTATTAGGGAAGAGAGAGAAGAATCACACCCTTTTTTCAACAAGTAAACATGGGAAACAGAAAGGTAACAAGAGCAACCTGTTGCTTTGGGTGTCTGTTCACAGAACTCTCCCTCTCCTATGAACTGTGTGGAACTGACTTAAACCTCAATGGGAGAAGCACAAAGAAACGAAAAACTCAGATTAAAAGGCTTTGCTGGTTTTCTGTGGGTAGTGAAGGAAGCTCTCCATTGATTAGAGCTCTAAGTTCTGTGTAGCTGCTATGTATAATACTGCACAAGTTTGTTTCAGATTAATTTTTCTATATTGTACATTGAAAAACCTGAAACAACAAGTGTTGTGTTAGAGAGTTTATAAAAATAATTCTATTATACAGACTGGCACTTGCACAGCTTTAATGCATTCAGAATATTATGTAATGTAAATGTGGAGAGAAATTATTCAAAGATTTACTCTCTTTTTCCACTGGTAATTTCCAGATGGATTTCCACTCAGGTGATGAGTGTACCTGTAATTCTCACCTCCATGGAAATGTTTGATGGGCTCTTTTAGCTAAAGCTAACCTAACTTACATCAAAATGTTCTGGTAGGTGCCTATATTTTTTCAGTATAGAGCAGAATGAAAACATGGTCATGATGACTGTCTGGGCAACTGTACCATCAAGTATTGCAGAGTGCTCAGCATCACTTCTCCCTGACAGCAGCAGTTTGTCACTGGTGCTTTAATGAAGGTTTTAATAGGTGCCACAAGCTGTGCAGACCAAATATTGTGCTTGTCTTTCAAAGTACTACAGATTTGAGCTTCATTTCCCCCCCCCAAACTCTTGAAACAAGTAGTCTATAATCTATTTGTCAGACATTTAAATGTCTGGAAGAGGCTGAAAAGCAAAGACAGAGTTACTAGAGAGGGACCTTAGTCATTCTGCTCTTAAAAAAAAAGAAAAGCTTCCAGAGGTTTTTTCTTTTTCTTTTTTTTTCTTTTTTTTTCTTTTTTTTTCTTTTTTTCTGAGAAATAAGCAGAGTTTGAAATACTGTAATTTTCTCTATTTCTCAGTATAATAGTTTCAATCCCTGTTGTGGAAGGCAAGCTGCCAGGCACAACCAAACAACTCAGTGAGCTCATAGAGATAAAAAATGCTAACGTCCCTAAACAAACCCTCCTATATCCTTCAGCCTCTCCCATCCCATTCCAGGATAAAACAGGGTGAATCCCTGGATTCCTCTGTTTGACTTCCCTCCCAACCAGAGCTGAGGCTGCACACATGGAAGGTGCTGCTGTTTGCACTGATGAACAGGCAACACTTGCTGTGATCAGACCTTGGCAGGAGCTCTAGACAAGAGCCAGGAGGTCCCACTGCTCTGGGAATGCTCTGGGAATACTCTGGGAATGTGTCTGCTGAGCCCAGGAGCCCACAAGGATTATCTCTTCTCAAAAGCAGCTGCAGGTGTTGTCCCCTCCCAAAGATGTTCCCATGTGAAATCCTTCCTGGTTTTGTTTTGTCATCCCTGTGATTTATTTGAGTTATTAAGGAGATACCTTGGGCTGTGCTATTATTTCTGTGCTGCTCAGCACTGAAATGCCAGCTGGAACTGGGGATGGGAAGCAGGAGAAATAGTTTTATCTTGTGTAGCTGCACCTGCTTTTCCCTCCTGGCCTGTAAATGCAGGGCACTGGGAAGCCTCTGGAACTCTGGGCTTCTCCAGTAGTGAGAGAATCTTTGGCAAACAGCTTTTGTCACTTCTGCCACCTCCACTGGTGGCAAACAGCAAAGCAGGGGCTCTGAGTCCCACTTCATCACAATTCCCTGCACAAATTTTCCATCACCTCTTCCCAAACAATGAGAGATGTCTGCAAAATCCATTTTGCAGGTGATGTCAGAGACAGCCCCATCCATCCATCCGTCCATCCATCCATCCATCCATCCATCATCCATCCATCCATCCATCATCCATCCATCCATCCATCCATCCCTCATCCATCCACCCATCCACCCATCCATCCATCCATCATCCATCCATCATCCATCATCCATCATCCATCCATCCATCATCCATCCATCCATCCATCCATCCATCCATCCATCCATCCATCATCCATCCATCCTATCCATCATCCATCCATCATCTATCCATCCATCCATCCATCATCCATCCATCATCCATCCATCCATCATCCATCCATCCATCATCCATCCATCCATCCATCCATCCATCCATCATCCATCAACCATCCATCATCCATCAACCATCATCCATCCATCCATCATCCATCCATCCATCCATCCATCCATCCATCCATCATCCATCNATGAGGGCTGAGGGGATGTTTGACCTCTGCAGCTCATTTTGGAAGAAAATCTCTGCTCCTGCTCTCAGCTGTCCTGCAGAACATAATTATCCATCCATCCATCCATCCATCCATCCATCAACCATCATCCATCATCCATCCATCCATCCATCCATCCATCCATCCATCCATCCATCATCCATCAACCATCCATCATCCATCAACCATCATCCATCCATTATCCATCCATCCATCCATCCATCCATCCATCCATCCATCCATCATCCATCATCCATCCATCCATCATCCATCCATCCATCCATCCATCCATCCATCCATCCATCATCCATCCATCCATCAATCCATCCATCCATCCATCATCCATCCATCCATCCATCATCCATCCATCCATCCATCCATCCATCCATCCATCCATCCATCATCCATCCATCATCCATCCATCCATCATCCATCCATCATCCATCCATCCATCCATCCATCATCCATCCATCCATCCATCCATCCATCCATCCATCCATCCATCCATCATCCATCTATCCATCCATTTCTGTGCTACTTTTGTCCCCAGCATTTGAAGGGAAGAATTAAAAACCTGTTGTTTCAGGTTTCTCTGGCACTGGTGGAAGTGATGCTGCTCCTTCAGAGGGGTTGTGGAGAAGCAGAGCAGATCTGTCCCTATAAAACCTATATATTCATCTTCTCTTTGCACAACTGAATTAAACACATAAATATCTGTGAATGAATCTGAACTCTTCCCTAGAGCTACCTGTGCATTCATCTTCTCTTTGCACAACTAAATTAAATATATAAATATCTGTGAATGAATCTGAACTCTTCCTCCTTTGAAGAGCAAACTTCCTTTAATTAAATTGTCTTTTCTTACTGTGTGATGTTAGTGACATTTTATAATCATACAGTTACTTCTTCATTTCAATTTTATGTTATTTTCAGAGGTCAGGAAGGGTAATATTCCAGCACAGCCATACTCAGTGAGAGGGTAACAGCTGACAGGAGTTCTTGCATGGGGTTCTCATCAGTAGATCTTAGAAGTGCATTAGATAAATATGGATTTTTATCCCTGTTTTAAAGGTGATGGGAACTGTGGCCCTGTGAGGTTGTCCAGCATGGCTGTGCAAACCTCTCCACGTGTTCTGTTGCCTAAACATCTCATCAGACTCCTGAGCAGTAGATTAAAATACGAGGTGGAAACACAAGGGCAAAAAGATTAAT